TAATAGCCCACATAATTATTATTAATTAGATAAATCGCGCACACAAGCTAAATAAAACTTTATCACCGCTTGCAGGTGTCCATACTATTTTGCATCTTTTCTCCTTCGTACGCCCCGACGGACTTTCCGTGGTTACTAAGAGATGTCAATAAAGAGTAATAAAATAATTTGCGAAATGTTAATTAAGTTACTTACTATATTTTCGCACCTATGTGAGTTCTTCGATGTCCAACGCATGCAACTTGCAAGGCCATTTGTCGCGAGTCGCGATGCTTGGCTCGGAAGAAATAGGTAGATAGTGTAAACAATAAAAAACCCTGAAATACGATTCCTAATAGAAATGTGATCGCATTCTACTTAGTTAAAAAGCTGGTTAGTAAATAATGTTTTTAAATTAAATTAAAAAAAATTCAACGATGTTATCCTACAATTGATTATACTAAACACTAAACAAAAACTATTGCAACAAGTATGTATAAAACACCATTAACGTAAACAGCGTTAAAAAACTTTAACATTCAATCGCCTACAACGCGCCAGCCTCGACTGCGTATGTTACCTTTGGTGCCTCGCGATTGTAGGTAATTGTTTCACGCAGGTGGCAAGAGTGACAGAGGGCTAGTCAGGCCGCGTAGTGCCGGTGCGATGTAAGAACTCCCCATATCATCCCGTGGGTGACGTAAAAAGCGACAATGGGAAACTAACCACGAGATGGGTAGCAGAATCTTCCTAATTTCAATAAAAAATTAAAAAATGTAGTTGGTATCCCGCTCACCAGAGTAGCAACTACGACAGTGGATTTTTAATAGAATGCAACCGTTTCCATTTGCCGGTGAAGTAAAACATCGTTAGGAAACTTGTCTCAGTAATAAATATATTTCGGGGACAGTTGAGGTCCGTCTTCATGAATTGTACTAGCGCGGAGGACTAATTGCTTCATGAAACTCTCAGAAATAATAGGTCTTTGTGTGTCGTAGGACGGCTATATAGAATGTAACTTTAATTTACCTAAACATTTTCGCTATTTTTATCACACTCATAGCGTGACAAACGCCAAGTTCATCTGATGGTACGTGCTAGTGAACAGGGACAGTGACTGTAACCAACTTATAGTAAAAAAGGTAACAAAAATGTTGTGATCCTTAGAGACTAAAATGAAAAGCCTCCAATCATATTATTATAATGGACTTCGGATCGGACCACAGCACAGAACGCACTGCTTTCATGGCGACTTAGCAGGTTAACTAATCAGGCAGTCTCCTGGGCAGCAAAGGAGCCAAATCTGTTGGTTTAATAATTAATTTTTTAACAGTCATAAATAATTTAATATTAAATCTAGTTGTTATGACGCACTCCCCTTTCCTACCTAGGAGTTCGTCTGCTTACCTATTTCTTACCTATTTCTACCGCCAAATGGCAACTGCACTAGCGTGTTCTAGTCTAAAGAGTATAGAGATCCGTTATAATCACAGGCTGAGATTTTAAGTGTTAGCAGTTTAATTGTAGTATAATGCTGCTGTTGGCGCGACTACGCGATCGCGATCTAGCAACGCACCGGAACACCAAACTTTTATCTACGAATCAGGGCTCGTCATTGTTGGCAACCAATCACAGTACGTCGTGCAATTAGTTATAAGATCTGTCTATTTTAAATTTTGATTATTACCTGATACACACTGTTAGCAATAAGACGACTTAAATATAACCAACAAACGTTCAATAAATCAATCATTGAAGAGCACCTGCCTCCCGTTCCTGTGCATAAAGTATTCCTTCGAGCCGGATAAGGAGTTCAAGCTTGAAATCTCCGAAGATTCATCGCATCAAAATACGAAGAAGAGATTCACGTATCGAGCGAAGAGCTGCAACGTTAAGGCATCGACAGACAGGAGTGGCAGTGCTCAGGTGGCGGTACCTACCTGCACAACGGCACCCACCTTGGTTCGCACGCATCTACAAATTGGCAACTGTAAGTACTCTTGATTTCCTTAATTCCCAAAATGAGTGAGTCCAAATTGTCAGATTCAATTAAGAAAAGAGGAGTTTTGAAAGGTCGATTAACTCTGTTTGAAAATTATGTTAAATGTTCACTTTACCCTTGACTGAACAACAGTCATTAGAATTAAATTTACGTGTCGAGAGTACTTCGAGTTTGATAGAGATGTATAGTGAAATACAGACTAGAATTGAAGAAGAGGTAGCGGAAGATCTCGATCTTGTAAAACAGCTGGAAGAGAGAGATCGTTTCGAAAATCAATTTTATCGTGCTGTAGCTTCTGCAAAACTTTTATTGAGAAAGGAAGTAGCTGACAAGTCTAGTGTTTCAACATGTAAGCCGATAGGCATAAAGTTACCCGATATTAAAATACCTTCCTTTGACGGTTCATACGATTGCTGGCTAGAGTTTAAAAATTCTTACCTTAGTATGATTCATGATCGCGATGATTTAGGTCCTGTTCAACAATTTCATTATTTAAAATCGTCATTGTCTGGTACCGCGGCACACGTCATAGGTGCATTAGAATTTACGGCTAATAACTATTCTCACGCATGGGAGCTATTAGAGAATAGATTTAATAATCCGCGACTATTGGTTCATAATCATGTGAAGGCATTATTTAAAATTCCATCGTTAAATAAAGAGTCCGCTTCCCAGATTAGGAACTTAATAGATATTGTTTTGAGAAATTTGCGTGCCCTTAAAACGTTAGGTGAACCAACAGATTCATGGGACACTTTGATCATTTACATGGTCGTTTCCAAATTAGATCAGGCCACTGAACGCGAATGGGAAGATTTTCAAGGTACAGCTAGTTCGTTAATTGAATCAAGGTCAGCTTTGAAACTGGATGACTTACTTAAATTTCTCAAGGACCGCGCCGACGTTTTAGAAATGATAAAAGTGAACCATAACAGATCCCACGAGAATAAAGGCGGCGAACAAACGCGCTCTAAGAAACAATATACATATATTGCTACGAACGTTAATAACAATAACAATAAGGGTAATACGAAACAAAAACAAAGCCGCGTGTGTGTGATGTGTCATGGTAATCACGCGATTTATTCCTGTTCAAGGTTTCTTAATTCGTCTATCCAAGAAAGGAATAAGATAGTTAAAACACATCAGCTGTGCATCAATTGTTTATGCGCAACCCACCAACTTGACGAATGCAAGTTTGGGCCATGTAGGTTCTGTGATAAAAGGCACAACAGTTTGCTTCACATTGATGGGCAGGTAGACGGCGCATCACAGGTGAGCGGGTCGAGTGCATCAGCACAGCCGATCACCCCTAACGTCTCCACTGTCTCGTCATCATTACACGTTACGGCTAACCATTCAGAATCGCAAAACAGTAATCAGGAATATTCGTTATTACCCAACGTTTTGCTGTCCACAGCGTTAGTGGACATAGCAGATTATAATAACAATTTTCACACTGTACGCATTCTGCTTGATAATGGTAGTCAACATTGTTTCATAAAGAAATCGTTATGTGAAACTGTAAATGCACCATTAATACAGTCCACTTATCACGTTGCTGGGGTAGGTCAAACAATTACGCAGTCCACCCACATTTGTAAAATAAAATTACGTTCAAGGTTAAATTCGTTTTTTATGAACTTTGATTGTTTAGTGTTGCCGTGCATTACAAATTATTTACCCACATTTAGTGTCGATGTAAATAATATGAGTTTACCTGATAATATTCAACTTGCGGATCCGAACTTTCACTCACCGTCAGACATAGATATACTGATAGGCGCGGATAAGTTCTGGGAATTATTGTGTGATGGCAAAATTAAGTTGAATAAAGGACCTTATTTACAAAATACAAAATTGGGTTGGACAATGTCGGGACCTTTACATAATAACCCACTTCCCGTTAAGAGTGTGCAATGTAATTTCTCCCAAACAATTGACACACAGTTGAAATTGTTTTGGGAACTCGAAGAGATAAACAATAACGTTAATAAAAACATCCTTAGTGCCGACGAACGTGCGTGCGAAGACATTTTTGTCAAAACGACAAAACGTATGGAAGATGGTAGGTTTTCCGCACGCATTCCTTTAAAGGAATCAGCTGATGTGCTCGGAGACAGTTACACAGCGGCTGAAAAACGTTTGTTGCCGTTAGAACGAAAATTCGCTCGGTCGCCACAATTTAGGGAAAAATACGTAGATTTTATGGGTGAATATGAAAAGCTCGGTCATATGAGTTGCGTTGAAACTTATGAGTCACCACACTATTTTTTAATATAATATATAAAATAGCAGTACGACTAAACTGCGCACTGTTTTCGATGCAAGCGCAGCGACGTCGTCCGGTAAGCCGTTGAACGATATTCAACATAATGGTCCACCACTTCAGAATGACATTTTTAGCATTTTATTACGCTTTAGGCAATATAAATACGTGGGTTGTGCGGACGTTGAGAAAATGTTTCGGAATTTTCTTGTACAACCAGATCAACGAGATTTACAATTGATACTATGGAGTAAACTTCCGTCGGACCCAATATGTGTATATCGTCTAAACACCATGACTTATGGCACCGCGTCTGCGCCATACCTTAGTATGAGATGTTTACGTCAGCTTGCGCTGGTAATGTAAGGATCAGCAGGTTGCGAGAGTAATCCGAGAGGATTTTTTCGTTGATGACGTCATCCTAGGTGACAATGATTTAAATAGCTTACTCGATACCTGTCAGAAGTTACGAAATACTTTAAACTCGGCTTGTTTACCGTTGCGTAAGTGGTTGTTTAACGTTGATATCAGTGACCACGACATATCTAAAGACTTGTCATTAAGCGAACATTGCCAAACTAAGAGTAGTCACCCGCACGCCGCGGTAAAGGTCGGCTGTGTTTGAGTTGTTACCGCGCTCTGTGCGTCGTTGCACAATGGCGAATACTATAAAATGTGTCGCCTGTAATATTGTGATCGATGAACTACTAGCTTATGTTCATAATAAATTATCTGTTATTGACGAGGAATCATTGAAACGAATATGTGTTAGCGCGTTTACTAGCAGTGAAATAAGCAAATCGAAAACGTTATTATTTGAATCGCTACCCACGGATCAGCGTAAAATTACAAGAAAAAGGAAAGGAAAAGAAGAAAGAGACTTGGATGACATCATTTGCGTGCTTAAAAGTGTAGATCCAGAAAAAATTCCAATTTTTGTGGCTAGGGAACTCGAGAAATTACCCCCTATTTTATTTGACCATCTCGATTGCACGAAACTATTGAAAGATTTGACACGACTTAATGCGGAGATCGAAGAGGTTAAAAACACCTACGCTACTGTAAAACAAATTGAAGATTTGCGATCTTACGTACATAACTTAAAGTACGAATCGCTACCACCGCCATTAACTCCTGCCAAGTATGTAAACATGAGAAGCGGTGGTGCTTGGAATGTCGATAGCGGCCCTATTGGGTTAACTTTGAGCCATAATAACACATCGGACGGAGACGACTTACAACAGTTTCGTAATAGTGTGCAAAGCAACTGTGAAAACGATGTAATAAATTGTAATGATGACGTCATAGTATGCACGACATTATCTCCTGAGATGGGCAATAAGCATGCATCGAGTACGGCGGTGGTGCCTGCACCAGGCAAGGTGGAGCGAGTGGCGGTGGCGAGCAGCTGTGAGTGCAGAGAGGAGGTTCGAGTTTCACCGTTACCTCCAAGTGCTGGCCCAAGTACGTCTACACAAATATTATCTGCGCCCGTATCTAACCTAAGGCAGAAAGGTCAAGAGACGTCGAATATTCAATCCTGTCGTGATTAATGACTGGCAAATGGTAAATAAGCGTAAGACTAAGCCGAGATATAGGTATTTGGGCGAAAAAGGAAAAGCAGAAGCGTCTGTTTCATCGTTTAAAGCCGCTGATAAGAACATGCCTATTTTCATAACCAATGTACACCTTGATACCGTGGAGTCTGACATTGTTGATTACATAAGGGCGAAAACACAAGTAAGAGTGACATTGGAGAAAATAAATATGAAGAAAGCAATAAATCATAAAGCCTATAAATTCCTGGTGCCGGAGTCGAAAGTTTCTATATTTTTAGATGAGAAAATATGGCCGGAGGGGATAATATTTAGGCGATTTGTGCATTTTAAAAATAGACGAGCTGACACAGTGAAGTCAGCAGGCGGCCCTTTGACCTCTAGGAATGGATAGTACGACCTACAAGTTTGCTACTTATAATTGTAAAAACGTCAAGAGGGCGGTCAGCGATGTCTGTCAATTATGTGATGAGTGCGTGGTGATAGCGCTGCAGGAGACGTGGCTGCTGCCAGATGAACTGGCATTTTTAAGTATCATAGATAGCAGATTCAGCAGCACCGGGACGTCGGCTGTGGATACGGCAGCAGGGTTATTACGCGGAAGACCGTACGGAGGGACAGCGCTGCTGTGGAATACCACTGTGTTTCCTAGTGTTACGGTAATAAGTTGCGATAATCCGAGAGTGAGTGCTATACGTGTCGTCACGACAGTGAGTCCGTTTATTGTGGTGTCTGTGTACATGCCGGTCAATAAATTAGTCAACCTGCCTATATTCACGGACTGCTTGGGAACTGTAAGTGCTATCAGTAATGAATATAGTAACGAACCTATTTACGTGTTAGGGGATTTTAACGCTCATCCGAATGAATTATTTTTTAAGGAATTAAAAAGTATATGTAATGAGTTTGTATGGGTACCTGTAGATATAAAAATGTTGGGATTGACTTCTGATACTTTTACCTACATAGATCCAGCTAGTGGGTCAAAGCGTTGGTTGGATCATTGTGTGTTGTCGCAATCAGCGGAGTCCTCTGTGGGCAGTGTGTATGTCAAGTATGACATACTATGGTCGGATCATTTTCCTGTTATTTGTGAATGTAATTTGGGATGCCTGACTCCTATTAAAATTACTCCTATTAATACTGTTAATAAATTGGTTTGGGGGGAAAGAACATCAGACCAAATTTCTTTTTATAGAACTGAATGTCATAAACGTCTTAGGTTGATAGATTTTCCGTCTGAATTTGTAAAATGTGCGGATAAATATTGTAATGACCCAAAACACCTAGTTATCGTCGATAAATTGTACTCTGACATCGTGCTCGCCTTATCACAAGCCGCCGCGGAGGGCCGGGGGGGCGAGCGGAAGCAGAGTAAGCTGGATTGCCGCGCTAAATATATTGCTGGCTGGAATAAACATGTCAGTGACAGTTACGGGAGGGCCAGGGCGAGTCTTCAGGGAGTGGTTGCTGTGTGGGCGTCCTACCAAAGGAGATGTATACAAAAAGATGTATGAATGTAAGAAAATATTTAAATCACGTCTTAGGTGGTGTCAAAACCACCAAGACCAGATAAAAATGGACATACTTGCCTCCAAACATTGCAAAAAGGACTTCACAGGTTTCTGGAAAAATACTAACCATCTGAGGAGTCGGCCTGGTTTTCCTGTGACTGTGGATGGAACAAATGACCTCAAGGGTATAGCTGACAAATTTAAAAACAATTTTATTGTCAAATCACCTCTGGGACCGTCAATATCACAGGCTACAGGTGGGGTGAGCGGGGAGTATCTAAATACCCGAATAAAAACTAAAGATGTGTTGAAAGCAATACAATCTATCTCAAAGGGTAAATCCCCCCGGGCATGATGGGTTGAGTGTGGAACATGTACAACACGCTGGGCCTCATATATCTAGGGTGTTGTCCATGTTGTACAATCTTTGCATATCTCACTCTTACCTGCCCGCGGATATGATGAAAACTGTTGTGGTACCAGTGGTGAAAAATAGGGCGGGAGATTTGTCAGACATATCTAATTATAGACCTATATCCCTGGCAACTATAATAGCAAAAGTGTTTGACAGCATTCTCAATACACATTTAAATCAACACATACAGTTAAAGGACAGTCAGTTTGGGTTTCGTTCGGGGCTGTCCACTGAATCTGCTATATTGTGTTTGAAGAGTGCTGTCAAATACTACACTACAAGAAAAACACCTGTTTACGCTTGTTTCCTTGACCTTTCGAAGGCATTCGACCTTGTGTCTTATGACATACTATGGAGGAAGATGAAGGAAGCCCATATACCGGATGAACTAGTACACATTTTCAAGTTTTGGTACGGGAACCAAAGTAACAGCGTGAAGTGGGCGGGCACTATGTCAGACCAATACAGGCTGGAGTGTGGTGTGAGGCAGGGTGGGTTGAGCTCTCCTTCTTTATTCAACCTGTACGTTAATGAACTGATTGAGGCGCTCAGCAAGCAACATGTCGGTTGTCATATAGATGGCGTTTGTTTCAATAACATTAGCTACGCGGACGACATGGTTCTGCTGAGCGCCTCGGTCTGTGGACTCAGAAAGCTTCTGAGAACGTGTGAGGATTATGCAGCTGGTCAGGGGCTGATCTATAATTGTAAAAAAGAGCCAGTGTATGGTCTTTCAGAGTGGTTCTAATAAGGTGACGGAGATGCCTTCTATTCTACTTAATGGAATACCGTTAAAGAGAGTATATGAGTTTAAATACTTAGGCCATATTGTCACCCCCACACTGAGAGACGATGCTGACATTGAGCGGGAGCGGAGGGCGCTGTCGGTCAGAGCGAACATGGTGGTCCGGAGGTTTGCACGGTGTTCGGAGGGAGTGAAAGTAACTCTTTTCAAAGCTTATTGCACTTCCTTTTACAGCTGCAGCCTGTGGACTGACTATGCGCAAATATCGTACGGTGCCCTACGCGTCCAGTTTAATAACGCGTTCAGGATGTTGGTGGGGCTCCCCCGGTACTGTAGTGCATCGACGATGTTCGCGTGTGCACGTGTGGACTGTTTTCACACTACAATGCGCAAGCGAGCAGCGTCACTGGTACGGCGAGTGCGGGGGAGCCACAACAGCATGCTGACCGCGATAGCAAGTAGACTAGATTGCCCCTACATCAAACATTGTTGTGGCCTACACATTGTGCACAGTAGGAATTAATATGACATGTGAAGGGAAGATTAGGTATTTATTGTGAGTGTTTATTGTTTTTAATTACTTTTACATTGATTTATGATATATTGATTGAGATTTTAATTTGATTATTTTAATATTTTAATTTTTATTTTGATTTCAATTTAATTTAATGAACCTAATGTAATGTAATTTTTGTAATGTGACTGGTGATATAATTATACCCATATGAGTCTGTGTTACTTGATGAATAAATGATTTAAATTAAATTTAAGACTTTAGGAGTGGGTTGGTATAATAAAAGTGATGAACTTCATTTTACCACACGAGTAGTTAGACCGAATTTACTAAATAAACGTACAATGTTGTCGATAATCGCACAAATATACGATCCTCTAGGAATTTTAACACCGGCTGTCGTAGTAGCTAAAATATTGATGCAAAAAGTGTGGTTGTGCAAGATAAATTGGGATGATCCCGTTCCCAGTGATGTTGCTTTATCCTGGGAAAAATTTATTGACACACTTCAATATTTGCATAACCTACGTATTCCGCGTCATGTTATTAGTGCACACACACACAGTTTATAGAATTACACGTATTCACGGACGCGTCGCAGAGTGCGTATGGTGCATGCGCATATGTTCGCACCTACTCTGATGACTCATCGGTGACTATTAGATTATTGTGTGCAAAGAGTAAAGTTGCACCAATTAAACCAGTCAGCATACCCCGACTAGAACTGTGCGGGGCTTTAATAGGCGCACGATTATATAGGAAAATTATCGAGTCATTGCGTGTTAATTTCCACATTATTTACTTTTGGACAGACTCAACTATTGTCCTTGGATGGCTACGTATGTCACCACATTCGTTAAAAACATTAGTTCAAAATAGAATAGTGGTGATTAATGAAATAACAAGTAATGCGTTATGGTTACATGTAGGAACCAAAAATAACCCAGCGTATCTGGTCTCGCGCGGTCTTAGTCTTGATGTACTCATTGACAGTAATCTGTGGGTCATAAACAGTTTGATTTGTTGTAATATGTACAGCAAAGGGGTAGAATAATTTGCTAGCATCCGTTTTTCCATCCTATTACAGTACTCATGTTAAGGCAAGAGTGAAAAGGCTTTGTTAAATAAAGTCAGTGCGCTATAAGGGTGTTATAAGACTTGGTACTTGAAAAATATAGACAAAATCCAACAATGTTTCAAATATAAATCTATAAATCAATCTAAAATAATACGTATCTCATTAGTCTCATTATTCTCTCAGTATCTCATTCTAATATACATCTTAATATATATAAATTACGTGTCACGTTGTTTGTCCGCGATGGACTTTTAAACTACTTAACCGATTTTTTGTTACGTTTAGTTAGTTTGGTCCGACTTGAGAGATAGGATAGTTTTTTGCCCATGAGTGACCACAATATTTTTTTTTGCTAATTTAAGGATTTTTAATAGGACATGACAAAGGGTCGTCGAAAAGGGCAGAACAACGTCTGCCTGTCCAGCTAGTATTTTGTATAAAATAAGAGTGATAAACGCGCACACAAGCGACAGACTAAGACGAAATGCCACATTTTCAGTAAAAAGGGTCTCTAATACGTATAAAACCTATAATTACAACTTTTACTTAATGTGCCAGCTCCTTCCACTTGACCGCATCCAGTGCAGGCTCGAATCGTCGATGACCGAGTCCTTTCCGATCGGCTCGATTCACTGGCGCTGCGAAGAGATGTTGCATCCCTTTGCATTTTCTTTCGCATCTGCTATGGGAAGTGCTCTGAAGAACTGTTCCAGCTGTTAAATTTCAAGAAT